AACCAGGTGTGCTCTCCCGCGTAGCAGGTACCCTTGCAGCTCGAGGCTTTAACATCGACTCGCTGGTCGTGTGCGCGACAGAACATCGCGACCTTTCGCGGATGTGCATCGTCTTGCGAGGACAAGATGGAGTGGTAGAGCAGATCCGCCGCCAATTGGAAGATCTGGTTCCAGTCTGGGCAGTGCTGGACTACACCAACACGAGCGTCATCGAGAGGGAAATGATGCTTGTCAAAGTCAGCATCTTGGGACCAGAGTATTTTGAGGAAGCTCAATTGGCAGCTCAAGGTGCTAGCGCTGGTGCCAATTCTGGCAGCTTGTACGCATCCCAATCTGCCCCAGCTCCTGAGCTCTTGGCCGAGAGGGAAAGCAGCGCTTCTGCCGGCTCGGGTCCCTCGCCTGCAGGAACGACCGGATCGGCCGCTTCTTCATCAGACGCAGCTTCTGCCGTAGGCTCAGCAGCCACTCACTCCCATACCGCTCAACATGCGCCACTCACACCCACCGAGGCGCTCAGAGTCAAGTCAGACAACATGAGATCCATCATTGCGTTGGCGGAGCAATTCAAGGGCAGTGTGGTGGACATCAGCTCTACCAGCGTTATTGTGGAGGTGACTGGAAAGACGAGCAGGTGCGACGCCTTCCTCAAGCTGGTCAGGCCATACGGCGTGCTCGAATGCGCCAGGAGCGGTAAGTCTAGCTAGCCACCTCCACAATTTAGCTGTGCGCGCGCATGTATGCTCATTGAATGCCCACAAATCTCACGCAGGAACAATGGTGCTGCCTCGCTCGCCCATCACCTCTTCCTGGACTGGCTTGGACGAGCTGAGCGAGGAGGAACTTGCGGAAATTGACCCCTCGCTCTTGCCTCCTGGCTAAGCTACGCTACACGGAGCAGGCTGCGTTTGGCATCGCGGCAGGGCTTACAGATGTGTAGGTGCACGCAATGTGCGCAGTAGGGGGTAGAAGAGGACAGGTAAGCTGAGGCATGGGAACGAACGACGCATTGGTTCACGATGGGTGCGACCCTAGCAATGTCGAATGAGCTTCTCGAACTTCTTGCATTGCGTCTCTAGCGACTTGCGCGCCTATCCTCAGATCTGCCTAGGCTGACTTGCACGTTGGTGCGGCGTAATTGTGAATTAGGTTTCTCTAGAATTCTGGGCGAGTGCGTGCGCTGCACATGGTCACTCGGGCAGCGCGTTGATTCAGTGACGTCAACTACGGACCTCAGCAAATGCGTCGAGACCTCTTCAAAGAAGACATGAACATTCTATGATGTGTACGTGCGTGGAACGAAGCAGTCGCGAGGCGGACGGGTTACAGAGGCTTTTCCTTTCTTGGAGCGTGGTGTCTTGCTTTAAAATTGCGTCAAGGCAACCATGCCCAAGGACCCGCAGACGAGAGAAAGAATGCCGTAGAGCGTCGTGAACGGCGGGAAGAAGAGAATGGAACAAGGTGGCGCATCACTGTTGAGCGCACTGAACGCCAGGTCCTCCTTCACCCTCTTCGTCTTCGTCCATGCCAGCTCCCTGACCAGCTCCAGCTCCTCGTCTAGCCTGGTTAGCCTCGCGCTCATCCACATCATCCATGATGACATCCTCCACATCTCCCTTGACTTTGCTAGCCTGCTTGCGAGGAGGCAGCGCCTTTTCAAGCAGAGGGAACGCCTCAGGGGGCAAAGAGTCTGGGAAAGCCACGCTGAGTGTGCAGTACAAGTCTCCCAACTCGTGGTGCCTGTAAGAAGGCATGCCCTGTCCTCGCAGAACCTTGATCGCTCCTGGCTTGACCACCTCTCCAGCTGGAATCTCGACGCTGAGCGCATGATCATCCAAATGCTCAATCGTGACTTTGCCTCCCGCTAGAGCAGTCAGCAGATCAACCTCAATGTCGACGTACAGGTCGTTCTCGCGACGTTTGAAACGCGAGTGAGGCTTTTCGTCCACCACGATGACGACGTCTCCTGGTATCGTGTTGGGCGCTTGATCTGCTTCCTCCTTGAAAGTGATGGTTTGACCATCCTTCATACCCTTGTCGATGCGAACTTCGAGCACCTTGCGCTCTTGGTTGACCTTTTTGCCGGAGCAAGTCTTGCACCTGTCCTTGGCATTGATCTGCTCTCCGAGACCTTGACATTCGGGGCAAGTCTGTTGCAATTGCTGAACCATAGGACCGAGCTGCCGGAGAATAGTCTTGACACCGCTACCATTGCAGCCACCGCAAGACTTGACAGCTCCTTCTTTGCCTCCGCGTCCTTCGCACTTTCCGCAAATGACTTGCTTTTGGAGGGCAAGCTTTGTGGTTTTGCCAACGTACAACTCTTCCAAAGAGACCTTGATGCGATGGACGAGATCCTTGCCCTTGCGAGGACCTTGGGGTCTGCGAGATCCGCCACCTCCAAAAAATCCCCCGCCGCCACCTCCGAAAAGCTGCGAAAACAAATCTTGAGGGTCCATTCCACCCATGCCGCCGCCTTCGCCAAGTCCTGCTTCTCCGAATCGATCATACCTGCATGCAGATCAAAATGACAGCAGCTCAGTTTACGATTGGAGGATATGGGCTGATGTACCACTATCACATGAAACCTTACTCACATGTCACGCTTTTGCGGGTCTGATAGCGTCTCGTATGCGGATGTGACCTCTTTGAATTGCTCGGGGTCGCCTCCCTTGTCGGGGTGAAGTGCCAATGCCTTCTTTCGGTACGCCCTACAATGGATCGCGGTCAAAAGGCGTCAGAAGTGACGAAAGAAATGATCCGAAAAGCAACGAGACGGGAGACAGAACGCTGGTAGATCATGTCTACGAGGGATGGCAGCGTGTATGCGCTTGCGCTCCCATCGAACCAGGACGCCGAGAAATAAGGACAAGGACGCTCCTGAGCGCCTTTACCTTCCTCTACTGCGAGTTTGACCTTCAGGAGTGCAAGCCACTGATGCAACTCACTTCTTCAGCTCAGACTCCGAGCAGTCTGGCTTCACGCCAAGAAGGTCGTAGAACTGGTCAAGGAGTGGCCAATTTCAGAGTCAGTGCAGCTCCTAGAGAGCGCGTTGAATCGTTGCCCTAGCTCACCTTTGTTTCGCTATGGCGCAACATTTCGAGGTGGATGGGGAAAGAGGTAACAGGAAAGAGTGTCAGCGTTGGTAGATGCCGGCTCCAAGGCATTCCAGCTCTCCCAGCTGCATACGCACGACACCATCTTGACGACTGTCTGCCTCCGTATGGGTGTCAGGTGAGCTGCTGCTGCTTATTGAGGCGGTCGAGTGACAGCCAAGTGCTCCTGCTACTGTTCTCCTTTGCAACTCGAGGTATATGATCTGGTGTGGTGGGATGACTTTGCCGTTCCTTTGATGGTTCTCAACTGCGGATGATTGCTCTTCGTGTATAGGCAGAGATATGTTTGCGCACGCGTGATGGTACAGGAGGCACTCGAACAGCTCGCTGTGAAGCAGAGTGGGATGAATGCGAAAGGACTGGATCGAGTGTGAGCAGAAGAGGTATGATGTATGAGCACACGACAAGATCTCAATCACGAAGTGACAGCCCACAACAGCCGTGAGTTGATTGTGAATCTTATTGATGACTTCAATTGCCCACCTGTGAGCTCGAAATTTCTAGACGCGCATGCAGAGGTGCTGTGGTGGCACGCACCGCCGCCGCCCTTGTCCGCGCACGCGATTGCTCGCCCGACATCCAAATCTTGAAGCTGCACGCGCAGCAGCAGCAGCA